TTCTATGCGGGTCAGAAACTTGCACTACGTGTCACGAAAAGGATTTCCAACAGTTTACAGAATTTTATCAACAGCTTCCCCCTTAGCTGGCTCCATACTGGAGATCAAATGGCCACCCGTCCAGAAAGAGTTAGTTTCAAGAAACTCTGGAAACAAATCAAACAGGTGCCGATTGCTTAACGAATGTAAAGGAGAAAATAGAGATGGATCTTGCATACATTGATGAGGCCGCTAAAGGACATCGCACGTCAGGCCGTTGGTCAAGTGTGACCCAAATGGGAAGTGACGAGTTGGGCTGAGATTCGAGGGTAACATGGAGGAGATCTTTACGAGGGAGGGAGATGAGAGCATATGGGCAGTCGTGGAGCCAGCTGAAGAGGACGGCAGAAAATAGAAGGGAGTGCAGTTGTGTTTTTGACGCCTTATGTTCTACTCGGAACCCAAAGGAATAATAATATAAAAAACTTCAGTTCAAAGTTTTACAGTTATATAGTGTTCTTAAAGGTCAAGGAAGTTGCCTATAAGGTGACTTGTTCAAACTATTTTGTGACAATACATATGAATTTACATCTCAAGCGAATAATAATAAATTACGTCATCCAAAAGAAGAATAAGCGGTGATCATCGCTCAGAAAAGAATAAAGATCATTAAATATTAAAAGTTACAAGTGTTTGAAAATAGGAACATCGTTCAAAAGTGTAAAAGATTCGAAATAATTAAAAAGTATATTTTAAAGTTAGGCGTTTGAAAGCGAAAAAAGCTAACTAACTAACCCATTCAATCCTTTCACCTATTATCTAGTTTATTTTCATAATTGTCTCCAAACTCCTTCACTAGCATCTAATCTTCCTAAACATGTCCATATTACGTAACCCTACTCACATCTTACCAATCTTCACCCCACTTAGTTACAACTTTGATTATTAATCACACAGTTTAACTTCTTCATTATTTTGATGATATAATCAACAACCCACACTAACTGTCATTTTTGGATTTTGACAAACCTAATGTACACACACACACACACAAAATAATTGTATATATATTTGCGACTGTACAGCTAAGTGAATGAATTCGCCGAAAAGAGTCTCTTCGCTGAACTAATTTGTTCTTATTTCAAAAAAAATTAGACGAAGGCAAAAACTGAGTGAATATGAATCACTCACGGAGTTTATATATTAAGAACTGAAAGTCATAGTGATATAATACAGGTGACTTTGGTGTGGACTTTGAGGAACAAAGTGGTAAAATGTAGTTCGTTTGAGTCAGATATTGTTATCGTTAACGTCAGTTCACTTAAGGTACTCAGTCATACAATTAGAATTGTTGCTAGATGGATGGAACACTTCCTACACAGATTCAGACGATTTGTTCCTTTGTTGACTGACCATCAAATGACATACCTTTGCCTCTTTTAATGGTTTGACCAATTGTGTTTTCATTCCTTGTAGTATATTTTTACCTGTGTGTCGAGAAATATCCTTTTAGACAGTTTCATAGACATTTATTGATGGCTAAGTGTATGCGTGATTGTTTTCTATAGTGTCCTGTTTCATTTTTTTGCCCTGCCTTGGTCTATAATTCACCAATTACTTGGATATCAGTTTGATTGCATGGAGGATTTCATCATGAGCTGACATCAGTTAGAGAACCACTGGAAAACCTGGGAGTACTGGACAGCTGTTTCGTCCTAGTTTGGGACTCTTCATCAGTACGCACCCACCAGGGTTCAAACCCAAGACCTTCTGGTTACAAGGCGAGCTCGTAGACCATTGATCGGGTCCCAGTGGCTCAATGGTCTACGAGCTCGCCTTGTAACCAGAAGGTCCTGGGTTTGAACCCTGGTGGTGCGTGCTGATGAGGAGTCCCAAACTAGAAGCGAAACAGTTGTCCAGTACTCCCAGGCTTTCCAGTGGTTCTCTAAATGATGTCAGCTCATGATGATGCAATCAAACAAAATCCCTACGAAATCAATACTTGGAAATCAGTTTGTAACCATGTTCTTTTCAATTTCTTTGTTCCTACGAACTAGTTCATCCAAGTTGTGTTATACCCATGAATTAAGATGAAGAACAGACCTTCTGAATACTACAAATAGTCAGGAACTTGTGGAATGAATATATCATTTATTTTAAAGAATTCTTTGATACATTCCTCAGCTATATTGCTAAAGCCATGTAATTCATGTAGACTAGTGATCTTGTGTGATTTACCCAAAACATTGCCTGCTCAGATGTCGAAATAAGAACGAACAGTACATTGAAGAGTAACTTTCAGATGAATTCAATCAATTAACTTTAAAATCACAATTATTTTTAACTAATTTTTGTGTGTGTGTGTACATTGCCCAATGTATGTCGGTGGCGCAGAGGTAGAGTGCTTGCCGGCCACTCAGGGGGTTCGGCGTTCGATCCCCGGCCACGGACGCATTCCCATACCTCGCTTAACTGGTAATAAGCCTGATAAAGAGAGAAAGCTGTGTTGCTGGGGGAGAGTAACAATTTCAACTTGTGAAAATAAAACCACTGCTGACGAAACTTCAAAGCTCTGCCTTGAAACCCACTATGTACCACTAGGAACGCAAAAAAATAAAATAATGAATTAAAAGTACATAGCATAAGGATAAAAACTGGTGTTGAGCATTGTTCATATCATCAAAATATTTCAAAACATTGATGAGTTATCAAATCCTAATTAGGGAGGGGAGAAGACCAGTGAGTTTAGGCTAAGGGTACGCATTATGAAGATCTTTCAGAAAAACAATTTTAATGAAAGATCATGCTGACAATTTTCAGAATAAATTATGCTGGAAGTGAAGACAGTGGACAAATGCCTAGTTAAGGAAATGATGTTAATAAATGTGATGCTAAAAATTTGAAAAGTAGTACTTATAACAAAATATTGATAATACTTGAGCTTGGAATTATGCCCAAGGTAGAAGGAAGGGATGGAAAAGTTTTTCCTGTATACGAAAATCAGAGTTTTATCTGAATCACTAAAGCCTTGGTAATACAAAGTATACAAGAGCATACCGTTTTTGAGAGGTTTCTTTGTAGTTAACTTAAAAATCAATTTTCCTCGTATATTGATTGGGCAGTATTATTATTATTCCCTTGCGTTCCAAGTGGTTCATAGGGCTTCAACAACACATCTCCACTTTCTTCTATTCTCTGCTGTCCTTTTCAGCCGGGTCTACGATTGCCCAAAATCTCTTACCTCCTCCTCCTCCTCCTCCCCAAACGACCTCTTCCATGTCAACCTCGCACTGATAGCCAACTCTTCGCTTCCCATTGGGGATCCACTGGAGCAATGGTCTGCGTTTCGCGCTACGTTATTTGACGGCCTCCTCAGCATGCGTCAAATCCATCTCCATTTTCTTCGGAACATTTGTTTAATGTGATTTTGGTTGGTTTTTCCAGAGTTTTGAAGCTAATTCTTTCCGGCTTGCTTGCCATTTGATCTTCTGTATGGAGCCAGTGAAAGTGGCAGCTGTTGATGAAATTGTGTAACTTGTTGGAAATACTTTTAGTGACATGCACTGCCAGTTTCTGTGTTCAAATTTGTGTTGAATAGAATCTGGATCTTCTTCTTTATGCTGAGGTGGAGTGCAGAAGATTTTCAGACTGGTTTCAGATTGATGAAGGCATATCTTGCCTTCCCGTTTCTGGCCTGTTTTGACATTTTCATCCGTTCTGCCCGCTTGTGGTTGAAACGATGCTTCCTAGCCGGATAAATGAAGGAAGTGACCTCGTTCAAATCACTTTCGTTGGTGGTGATTGATGCTTATTACTGTTTTTGTTGCTGTTCGTTGGTTATATTTTAACCTCCGTCTACATTCACCTGTAGTCCTGTCTTCGTTGCGCTGCTTCTTCATCCAGTTTATTGGTTTTCACCTTCAAGTCTCTGAGTTCGTGTTTCTGGTCAGTGTTGAATATCAATTCAATTATAGCACTCCCTATTGTTCGATGGTTACTTTTGTGTCGCTCTTATGAGATAATGTTCCTTGACTCTTTTCGATGAACCTACGCATGGAACGATCGGAACGACCTATATGCCTCATTTTACAGGAGCAATTGAATTGATAGACACCAAATTTTCTGATTAAAAACGATAATCCTGAGTTATCCGGTTACCTTCATTTTCCTGAACCAAATTTAGGCTATATTAGGAATTTCAAGTGTTGGTTTGTAGGGATTTGATTGGTTACAGGATTTTCATCATGAGATGACATTAGTTAGAGAACCATTGGAAAACCACCTGGGAGTACCGGACAGCTGTTTCGTCCTAGTCTGGGACTCTTCACAGTACGTACCCACTGGGGTTCGAACTCAGGACCTTCTGGTTACAAGGCGAGCTCGTAGGAACTGTTGCTTTGTCTGTTAATTAATCCCAGCATATTGGGAAGTAGAAAGGCTTGTTTATATTTGTAATATATACAATGACAAGTTTATTCGATGCAAGAAGGACCTGCATTATTTCCCTACCTTTTTATGAAATGTGAGTGCAGTTTATCGTAAACGTTATATTTTTTTTAACTGGTTGATTAAGCAATTTATCAAGAACAAAAAATCTGAATCAAATGTCACAGTTTTAGCCCGATTGCTAACTCTAACTCTAACAAAAAAACTAATCCAGATCAGAAAAGCAAAGCAATACAAAGGTAATAAGCAAAAAAAAAACAAAAACAAATATCAAGATGTGGATGCACATGATAACACTAAGCTGTACAATTCCATTCCAGTTTAAATCACTATATGACACGTTTTGTACTCTGTGCAAATTGCTACAAAAGGCATTTTATTCACATGCAACTTTGTTAGACTAAAGTTACCGTTTATGCAAAATTGATTTGGAGTAAACCATCTGTCAAAGTTATATATGTAAACTTGTCAAGATTATTGTTTTGTTAGTGTACCACCAGTGTATCACTGATTTTCGTGGTAAAATAAAGACTAATCTTCTAATTTGATCTTTTTTTTTCAACTTTTTCCACTAGAAAATGATTTGTCGGTGGTTATTTGGACTGCAGATCTGTTTGCTAATCTTCTTCAGGCATCTATGTAAAGGTGCAGGTAGGTTGTGTGTTACACTTTTATGGATTTTATTACTTGTGATGTATATTTTCGATATTATGTTGATTTTTAAGCAGTCAGTTTTTTCTAGTGGGAAGTCAGGATCAGCGGAGTCTATTCAGTTGTGCTTGATATATTGGCTTGGAGTCACACAGTATAAATTAAAACTAAAAGGATGTCGGATTCTGTTCCACTGGCTGAACAGTTGTCAACGAGCTCGCCTAATAACCTAAAGGTCCTGTGTATGATCACCTGATGAATAGGCCCAAAGAAGGACGAAATAGTTGTACAATATCCCATGGTTTATAATGTTTTCCTAACTGATGCCGATTATAATCGAAATTGAAATCAATCATATCCCTGAAACAACCTAAGTTAGAATAATGAAAAGCATTGATAGTTGAATAAAATGGATAGTTGTATTATGACATCTGAAGTTGGTCCAAAAATCCCTGACTGATTAAAAAACTGACCAGACAGTGTAAAAGTGGTACAAAATAATTAGTACATCTGAAAAGTTGTAAGCAGACATTCTTAAAGCATCGATTTGCCAGTCAAGCAGTCTGTAGCATCGTAGGTATCTCAGAGTAATCATCAAAGACTTTATAGATTAATAGTATGCTTCGTGTAACCACCCTTTACTCTTTTCTAACTTAATTTTAATTCAGCCCGCATCATAATTTGGGGGAAGATGGTGGTTGGGCATGGCTATCACATTTTTGTTATTCAATCTATGAAATTCGAAAACCTCACTGATTGACTTTCTATTTTTAACCGATGATACACCCAACCTCATTATTATTTACAACGTCTCCTGAGTTAAAACGAACGCCGTAACAAAGTTATCTTGGAATGAAAGCCTCTAGTTTTTTGGTATATTCTTTCAGAGAACATATCTTACACACCTGCGCTAAAAGCAAGACAAGTAGAAGAATGATGAACGCATTTTCTCTATCCTTTAGGAGACTTTTTTGTCACAACTACTTCATTTATTCTAGTAGATCTTCTCAGTGTTAATTTGTGATGGAAACTTCCATCTTACTATGCGTTACAACTATCTTACCTAGGAAATATGAATTTTTTTAATTCGTAAGACTATAAGCAGCACTTGTATACTGAAGAATTAAGATAGTACCTTTTGGCTGAAATGAATTTGGTGGAGCTAAACATTTCAGATTGATAGATGTTAGAATTGGTTGGTCATTGGCGCCTATCCCAGTGACAGGATGGCCAACGAGTTCACCTTGTAACTTCAAGGTCCTGGGTTTGATCCCTTCGCGTACCGCTGAAGAGCACCAGACTAGGATGAAATAGCTGTCCAGTACCCCATAGTTTCCAGTGATTGTCTGACTGATGCCATTTCGCTATTAAGAACTTGGAAATAATCAAATCTCTTCATACTAACATTTAGAAATTCAGTTTAGTCAAAAATATGATATTACCTTTTTTGAGATTATTTTATTAGAGCACTTTAACACCAAGTGGGAATTGAATAAATTGTCAATGTCACGTTTCGCTTACTTTGAAAAACTGAAGCACCATGGTATAAGTGGAGTGTTCTATGTGCAGTATGCTTACTAAGCATCATTACAATAATCATGGATATAATCTTATCACAGTAGTATATAACTTCATAAGTAAATTCTAATCTTTGTGAGTACATTTCACATGATTAAAAGTGAATAAGTGTAACAGTCAAATGGTACTATCTGCTACGACTGAACACTTCAAGAGAGTGAACACGAGAACTGTACCATGACTTATGAATAAAGTGCTTATATCGTATGATAATACCATCTCACATTTTATATAATAACCATGTCAAATGAACCCATAGTTAGATATTTATCATCATAAGTCACTGGCGCATTAATTCCATTCTCTGTTAATGCCTGATTTTAGCACGCGAACACCATTCAATTTCACTAGCTGGTGAACCCCACTGGTGAAGACTTCTCGTTTGAACTCCAGGAAACTTCGTCTTGTAGATAGTCACTAGAGGACCTCATATCCATTTTCAGTAGTCAGTTTGTAAGGACTAAAGTGGTGTTATTTTCGTTAATGATTATTAGCAGAGGATTCGTATTCGATACTCGTTTTCTGAGTGTAACTGAATTCCCAGCGAGTGTTGTCGTTGCCACTAAAACTGTGATAGAAAGTGGCTATCATGACCTTATTGACTTTGTGGGTGGAGATTTCACTTTTGAAATGATGGGTACCAAGTTCGAGTCCCAGTAGGAACACCATCACTCACTGAACGTGCAGGTACATTCAGATGATGAGTCGAAAGCGGTGCGAAATACACATTCTAGAATTCACTCCTAGTCACTAAACTCAGTGAGAATATATTTGATAATATCTTTTAATTGTAGCAAATAATCATGGTGAATTTTGATGAACATGAAACGTTTTGTTTGCACTTTATATAAAAATTAAATTTTTGTATCTCCATATAGCCTACTTTTTTATTGATTTCTTCAAACAGAATGGTCTTACTCTGATCCGAATAGTGGACCAGATAGATGGTCTCAACTTCCTAAATCAATGTGTTCAGGCACTTATCAATCACCTATTCCATTGTCAAGAGCATCATCTGTATTCAGTCCTGAATTGAAGCCGATACAAATTTATCGATCGGGATTCACAAAAACACAGAATCAAATTGTCAACTCTGGTCACTCAAGTAAGCAGATTTCAAAGTTTTAATGTTAATGTGTGTGTTTTTAAATTTCTTGGTTCTTCACTGTCATACGTCCATCTATGCTTAGTTTACAAATCAGACATAATTCACTTGAGTCGCATAAAAGCCGCCACTCAAGTTTAACAGTTCGTATACATTGATGAAAAGCAGTAGTTGCAATCTTTTCTAATGTATCTCTGGGAAAATAGTATATAGGGAGTAGAAAAATGGAAAACACCGTGGAATAAAAACACCGTATTGCGTGAACTCTGTAATGACATACTAGTTGATCTCAGATCTAACTATATGCTCTAGCCCCTGATATTATATAATCACTGGCATTTTCCACAAGAATTTTAACAATTGTAATAAGTAATACAACTTTTCACTTACTGGTTTGTAGGGATTCGGCTGATTGGTTAAGGGATTTCATCGTGAGCTGACATCGGTTAGGGAAGCATTGGACCAAACCTGAGAGTACTTAACAGCTGTTCCGGCACCCTAGTTTTGGACTCTTCAGCAATACGCACCCACAGCTGTTCAGTACTCCCAGGTTTTCCAATGGTTCTCTAACCGATGTCAGCTCATGTTGAAATCCTGTACCCAGTCAGCCACATAGCCAAAAATCGATACTTGAATATCAATCAAATGCTCACTAGGTAGGCAGTTATCTGGGGTCCTAGAGGGAAGTCGTGACCAGTATGGTACAGCAAGTCGGGCGTAAGGACAAATACTCACCGAAGACATTGCGAAGTGGTCGCGCTATGTCATGAATTGACAGAAGTTAGAATTCATGGACTGGCCATTCGATCGGATGCCAGTGTCTTAATGGTGTACTAGCTAGCTTGCCTTGTAACCACAAGGTCCTGGGTTCGAACCACAATGGGGTGGGTACGTGATGATGAAGAGTCTGAAACTAGGACGAAACAGGTCTTTCAGTGGTTTTCTAACCGATGTCAGCTCGTGATAAAATTCTGTAACCACACAATTTTCGTCAACCATTACCGTTTCCTCTGCTTTCATCTTAAAATTGTGGTTGAACCTCTTGTGTTCTTTAGAGAAATTTTGACTTATTTCATTTGGCTAACTAAGTTTTAGTTGTCTGTGTTTCTCCAGTCCAAAACTTCAGTCCTCTGCATCGTTTACTATGTTTGATGTCATACTGAGAATAAGTGTTACTGAATGTTCTGTGCTGTCTAAGTTAAATTTTTGAGTTTGGTCTTCCACTCCTAACTTTTAGCATCGTAAATTTGTTCACACTCCTATGTTAAGATAAGCTCATACCTAAAACTTGTTTTCAGTGATTTATATTAGTTATTTGTTATTATTCCTTGAGATTCCAAGTGAAACATAGGGCTCTTTATGTTCTCCCGATGTTTTTTCTGCCAACAATGTATTTTGCCTGTAGGTCATCCAATTTCTGTGACATTAGACACAAACTTTCCGTGAAGTCCAAATTTTCTAGATTCTTCTCGTCTGTCCAGAGTATGCCCACCGTCTCACTCCCCACGGTGTTTTGCATGACTCACTCCACTACAGTCAGGAATGTCATCGTTGATAGTAGGCGGTCTTGTCTTACCCGTGTCTTCATTGCAAAGGCTTTCCTGAACCTTCCGTTGTGAACTATTTGACATGTGGTGTCACTCTATAGCTGTTGAGTGAGGTTGATTGAGGGTTTTGGGTGGTTTTGAGGCAGTGTTAAATAATTTTACTGCTGACACTACTGACGACTGAGCTAAGGTAGTGGTTTGACTGTCATTTGATGTCATGTCCCATGATTTATAGTGGTGGTGTAATTTAATCCACACATGATTCTCTTTTCCTGAATCCAGCTTGTTTGGAGAGGAGGTCTGTATTTGCAGCGTCTTCTAGTCACTTCAGGATGGTGTGGTTTAAAATTCTGCTTAGAGTAGACAACAGCATGATTCCGCACCGGTTCTTAGAATCGCTTAGGTCGCTGTTACTTCTAGAGTTTAGCGAGCAAACCATTCTTTCCCCCCAAGCCTTCTGCAGCAGCAGCAGCGTCAGGATATCCTCTGTGGTCTCCAGACACGTTTTCAGCGTTGGAACGATGCTGCCCATGCAAGTGAAAGAGATGAATTTCATTGGATTTCTTCTATTATTACCGACTGATCTCTGCTGGTGTTTAGTTAGATATCCTCATCACTTCTGTTTTTGATATGTTCACTCATAGTCCTGTCTTTGCTAACTGCCACTTCTGGCAATTTATTTTGATTGCGCCTGTAGATTACTTTGTTGACTTAATTATTTCTTCTAAGCCAGCTCTTGATAAAGGCTTGCTGCAATGATTACATTAGGTGATACTTACTTGTAAATCAACTAACAGATGTTGTCATTAACTAATAAGTGCTACTCATATTATTACTGATTAAATAATAATGATAATAATCTACTTTATTCCAAAAACAGTACTTATAATACAGAATGGAGTTCTCAGCATTTGTCACAATATTGCATCTGATTTACTCAAAATATAAATAAAATAAAAAATAAAAACAAAATTAACTAGAGGAATTTGTCCACGTTTACGATATAAATTCAAAAATATTTGAAGCGCGAATTAAAAATATTAAACATGATAATAATAATAACAGTGATTTTGTTTCAAATAGTATTGTTGATTCAATTTGGAAATTTTAGCATTTTATAGATTATTGAATCTAAAGTTCTGTTGATATAGCATGGTGAGGGGAAATACAAAATTAAATGATGTTCACACTTATGAAAAAAATAAACAAATAAAAACAAAACTTGAGAGGATTATAAACATAAGAAGCGCAATAACAATAAAGTTTGATGTTGTTAGGGTGGAGGAAATGGTTTATTTAGTAGTGCAAAGAAGGTTAGTTAGTTCATGCCTAACACTATTTTCATCACATAAAGTACGTGCTAAATATTGTATTGTGGAATTTTCATACTTAGACGTACGTGCACAAAGCCTTCTGAAAGGACTTCTTGTTTTACCTGAGGAGACACAAGGTTGGAGCTGCTGCTGCTGTGGATGCTCACAGTCTGACAAAATTCCTTTGGCAAATTTGTTGCCTGAAATCAAGTGCCTATCAATAACGATGTCAACGATATGGCTCCATAGGATACCAATCGTCCCACTGACAGTCTTCAGAGCTCTACGAAGTATGACATCGTCTTTTTTAAGCAGTCCAGGAGAGAATAAGGGTGAACAGTAAAGAAGAGTAGGTAAGATGCAAAAGTTGACAAACTGTAAGAGGAGGGGTTGGGTTATGTCTGAGTGCCTTAACTTCTTAATGTAGAAAGTCAGACGAAGTATTCTTTTAGAAATCGCTAAGACATGAGAAGACCAGAATAGGTCAGAAGAAAGAATTAATCCAAGATACTTAACTTCAAACTTGGTTTATATATCAGTATCATCAATTTTGCAAGTGTCATAGGAACTAACAGCTTCATTTAACTTTCTTTCACATCGGAAACTGAAATTAACAGTCTGACATTTTGAAGGATTTAGTTTAAGGCCATTAGACGAAGACCGTTTGCTGACTGCTGATAGAAAGCTCTTCATCTTAGTACAGTCTAGCTGGGAGTTAACAGACATCGAAACAGTTAGACCATCTGCAAAGTTTATTCCATCAGAGTGATGCAAGTCATGTAAGAATAAAGAAAACAGAAAAGAAGAAAGGACAGCGCCTTGAGGGATATCAGCCTCAGTAAGCAATGAAGTGGACGACTTTCCCTGACATATAGTGCATTGCTTTCTTCCTGAGAAATAATAATGCAGCCATTTGACAACCCAACAGTCAGTTTGAGTTTCAGCAAGCTTGTTTAGTAAAATTTCCCTAGGTACTGAGTTGAAAGCAGATGTATAATCTAGAAAGGTGCAGTGAACAAATTTAGACCCCTTGTCTAAGCTGGAGACAATGTTATGATACAAGACTTCAGCTGCATCTAAAGTACTTCTACTGTGTTTATGGGTGAATTGTTTGGAATCATTAAAGGCTTTAAGTTAAGGTTCAAAATTAATTAAGGGAAACTTTTCCATAGTTTAAGAAAAGGAGAGGTAATAGCAATAGGTTCTAAATTTAAAACATGTTCCAGTAGACGACTTAGGTATAGGTACAATTTTAACGTCCTTCCAAACGGCTAGTACAACATTTCTGGAAAAAGGTTCATTAAATATGTCCATGAGAGAATGACACAGAATATCTGCACACTTTTTAAGAATAACACTAGGCAAACCATCTGGACCTAGGCTACAAGAAGGGTTCAGAGACTGGAGACATTTGAGAACGTTATTTGTATTGAAACTATACTATAAATAGCATAGTTTTAAGCGTTGATATAGTCACTGGACAACTAATATCGCACCAGTCAGCTTAATGACAGTGCTAGAAATAACTGGGACCTGGCAGTTACACGTCAAGTGCATAGACCATTCAACCACTGCGATGTACTCACTGGACAGCTGAAAAATTTTAACCTCTACCGATTCAGGAATTTAGCACAACCACCAGCCAGTGGTATCGGCGGTGAGTATTTGTCCTCACTCCCAACCTGATGGACCCCATTGGCAAAGACTTCTCACCCAGTATTCCAGGCAACTTCATATTTTAACCAGACACTAGAGAGCGTTAAACTCACGAATTGGTAGAATTTAGAATTTATGGGCTGGCCTTTGAGCAGTATACCAGTGAATGAATGGTATACGAGCTTGCCTTGTAACCAGTAGCTCCTGGGTTCGAACCTCACTGGGACGGGTGCGTGCTGCTGATGATTCCCAAAACTAGGATGAACCAGCTGTTCAGAACTCCCTGGTTTTTCACCGGTTCTCTAACTGATATCAGTCCGTTAGTCAGGGTGCCGTGGACCTAGATTTTTTGCTTTTTGAGAGTCTTCAGTAAGAGATATAGCGGAGTAAATGATGTCATACCCGATATGCCGAACTGCATTTCCAGTTGTTGCAATCAGATACATTACCAGTGAGCTATTCCGGCTCAAGGCAACTTTGTCGA